AAGTTTAAACCGTATGGGTGTTATCCAGATTAGACCTAAACCGGATAAGTGTTAAGCGATTTAAAATATAAACCGGGCAAGTGTTTAGCGATTTAGACATAAACCGGTCAAGGGTTAAGCGGTTTAGTCTTAAACCGGACAAGGTTTGGTCGATCTAGAAATAAACCGGACATAGGTTCACCCGGTTTAAAGGTAATCCGATCAAGTGTTGGCCGATTTATATGATGAGCGATTTATGGACTTTGAATTATGATTAATGTTTAAATCGGAGAAGTATGAATACAACTATGAGGTTGACCGGATTGTTAAATCGGACAAAACATGAATAGTGTTGTCCGGATTAGTAATCCGGACAAAGTGTTGACAATTATTCCAAGTGTCAATTCGGATATAATGTGAAGTATTGTCCGGATTTGTAATCCGGCCAAAGTTTTGTCATACGACTGTATGTACTCTATTACCATAACCAAGACTTGTGTTATAATATTTGTTTGGGTTGCCAAACATGTCCATTTTCTAGACACATATAAAAGATGTCCACTTTCTTTTGATTTCTAGCATAAATCTTGGGGTCACTTTCAAATAACGAAGGATTGTATTTTGCTTGCTCATACGGTGTTAAGTAACAAATACACAAGAAAAATATACAATTACATATCTTACTTACCTTGTTAAATTATAAAGAATTGAGTTAATGTGTTGTATGGTAATAAACCACACATAGGGGGATTTTCTGAGATGTTGTACGGAATTGGAATATGTTAACCTATTTGATTATTGTTACATATAATTGCTTATATGGTGAAGTTGAGTGTCTCTAGATTTACTTACTGTTGAAATTGTGAATCTAGTGGATTGCGTACCCACGATGGAATGGACCTTCCTTTTAGAGGGATAACCGTTGTCGAGACTTTGAAGAGTGGGAACTCAAGTTATATAGTTTTATAGTGCTACCCGAAAGGCTACGCACTAAGAACCATGATTGTTAAGGTGTTATCAAAAGGGGTAGTTATTAAGGACACAAGCCTTGAGATTCTATTGTTAAAAATAGGCACTAAGGTCAATAGAACCTTGAGATGAATCTCGGTTGGAGGTCGGTAGGCACTAAGGCATTGAGTCCTTGAGGTGCTCTGCGTTAACAATGGTTTAGTGACATAGTTTTGTGTTCCCGCCACTTCCAATGGTACACAAGTCTCCACAATTGTTTTGAGATGAACCAACAGTCATTACAAGATGACAAAATTGCATCAACGCTATGATCTATTGCTAATCACCGACGATATAAAAAAATTTCAATTAAAAGATTAAAACTAAATTTTCGGCTCGGTAATTACCGACGAATACCGAGTGGATATTTTAACTTTTCTTTTTATTTTTTTTGTGGAAGTTCTTTGATGTGTAAATGTGTTCATCATTTATATCGTGAGAGTTCTTTTTAATTATAATTTGTAATTTTTTAATTTGGAAATTCTAAACAAATTACCAATTTTCTTCTATGTACATACATCCACTACATACATACATATATACAACATATATACATACCACTATTACGAAATGGGTTTTTACTGACCCATCAAAACCAATTTTAGTTCCTTAAAGAGCTTCCCATGCCACCAAGGCCAAATACAATTCATTAAGAGTCAATGGAGTCGTCTATCAAGGTTTAATCAAGTTTGATAAGAACTGCTAAAGCCATGAACGCCCAATTCAGTTAATTAAGAGCCATTGAAGCACATAAAAATGAAATGAGGTTAAATAACAGTCATTGAACCATAGAAAAGAGCCAGTGGGGTTAGTTAACAGTCACCGAGTCGAATACGACCCATCAAGGCCCATTAAAGTTCATTAAGAGTCGTTAATGCCCATCAAGCCCATTAGAGTTCATTAAGAGTTGTTAAAGCCCATCAAGGCCCAATAAAGTTCATTAAAAAACTACTAAAGCCCATAAAAGACCAATAGTTCATTAAAAGCCACTATAAACCATCAAATCTCAATACATTTCATTAAGAGCCTCTGAAACCCATGAAGGCCCAATATATTTCATTAAGTTCACTTAAGCCCATGAATTTTGAGGCAAACCAGTTCTTATAATTCTCATTGTTCACGATTCTATGGGTCATACCACAAATTTTCCTCATTTTATCTTAAACTGCCAAAAGTTTCATTATTCTTGATTCTTGGGACAGAGCTGCTTAGATTAGAATGATCCAAACTTTATAGTTCCTTCAAATTTACCTCATTTATCTTTTTCTCTTGTTAAGATCTCCATTCTTGTTCGGTGAATGGATTGAATAAATTATTACTATATTGTTCCCCTACATTGGTTTGTAATGGTATGGTTCAATGACAAATCTTTAACTTCAAAGTCAATTTCTTGTGTTTGTTCTTTTACTATGGCAGGATTTCGAAGTCACTTTAACGCTGAAGGTGATGCTGAGTTGAAGATTGTTATATTTGTGTTCCAATCCTCTATTTGCTTAATTGATGCCTTGTAATCTTCAAGGAAAATAATGGTTTTCTTTTTATTTTCGAATAGATTTTGTTGATGTGAATAGAGTTATTTTTTTTTTAAAATAAACTCACACGCCCTGTTGGTGAAAGTACCTTTTGATGCTTTTGTTAATCAATATGACTTTTTTTTACATGGATTTAATGATTCATGATATTGATGTGTGGAATGAAGCTAGATGTATACATACATACATACATATATACATACATATAGATATATAAAATATGCATTATATAAATAGGAAAAACACTAAAATGGGTTATTCATTGTTTTTATAAAAAAAAATACACTTTTACTGACAGATCACAGTAAAAAAAAAAGAGCAAGTCGCTGGTCCATCCGTAATTGGTTCGTCAGCGATCCGATGATAATAATTGGTCGTCGGTGATCCGTTGGTGATATCATTTTCCACGATGTTTTTCCTGAAAAACTTTCACGATGGATCCGAATTTTAGCGACTTATTATCGATGGATTTTTCATCCCCAAAAGTTTCCACTTTTTGTAGTGACTTGAGGAACAAGTTGAGAGTGTCAAGAAATGACATGCCACGCTGGACGAACTGTATTTAAGTAAAATGATTCGCGCTAATAACTCATTTTGTTTACTTGTTTATGTAACCACTACAAAACAGAGGAACTTCTTAGATGGACAATTCCTTCGAAAATCCATCGAAAATGTTGCCTTTCGATAGATTTTTGTTGGAAACTCTCGCGGCAGAATTTTTGGTCGAAAACTTATGTTTTCGAGAGATTTTCGATGGAATTTTCGACATAAATAATCCGTCGAAAGACCCATGAAGATTCCAAGCGATTTTCAACAACTATTTTGAAGGATATCTTCGACGGAACGTTTTTCATTAGATTTTCGACGAAAATATTTTCATGGGATTTTCGACGGATTTGTTTTCATGGGATTTTTTAAAAATTGTTTTCATGGAACTTTTTGACGGATATTTTTCATGCGATTTTCGACGGATGTTTGCAAGGGATTTTCAACGGAATTTTCATGGGATATCATCACTTTGTTTGGCATTTGCAACGGATTTTCATGAGATTTTTCACAGATTTTCGTTGAAAATCCACGAAGGCAATGGTTCGGAGATAAAGACGACGTTCGATAGACGGAGGACGACGGACGGAGTGGTCGACGAAAGGAAGCAGTCGACGAACAGATGCGGGTAATGTTTGCTAACCCTAGAATTTAGGGTTTGTTTAAATTCATCTTCAAGGGATCTTCGATGGATCCCCATTTTTATTTAAAGCATATAAATAAATTGTTAAATATAAATAATGAATAATAAATCAAATTTTTAAGTCTTAGACGGATTTTCGACGAAACCTGATTTTTATATTTAAAACATATATAAAATTGTTGACTACCATAAATAATAATTTTTTATAAATAATAGATGTTCGAACATCAGTCGAAATATATATGATTTTTTGCAACAAAATAAACCATTTATATTTGCATAAATAAACCTTCGATAGGATTGCGACGAATAATGATGATTCCATTTATATGTATTTTTCTTAAATATTACAATCTAACACACATATATCCGTTAGATTCATTTATGACCAAATATACTTATGATAATTATGTATTTACTAGATTCATTAACGACCAAATGTAACTAACAGATGTCGTTCACTTTTTTAATTTAACTTGAATTAGGTTTCATTAGATGAATATGATGATTTTGTTAGAGAATTAATGGAACAATTGGTGGTAGTTGTTGATGACATGAACTTTCAAAGTTTTCTGAGAAGCACAGAGGTCGAGAAGCTTGTTATCGACCTCATTCATGGCAATGGCTCAAAGTTGATATAACATCAGATCATATCGACAAATAAGATAGTGTTCGTGCATACATTTGTCCCCGTGGCAGTACCATGCAAGTCTTTGTTCATCTTGGAACTAAAAAGCTGGAAATGAACATTGTGAGAATATGTGGAAACCCATATTAATCTCTAAATGCGCAAAGGAGGTTACAACATACATGAAAGGCTAACAGGACACTTTTTAAAAGTGACATAAAAAGATTATTAGGACCATTTACTTTTTGTGTCATGTGTCCAACTCTATCGATAGAATTTCTTGGGTTGTTTAATTTCGCCTAGCTCCTAATAACTTACTTATTTTGACACCTTTAAATAGAGCACCGGGTGTTGGTCCTATACACTTAAAATCTCATTAATTACTATATTAGGATGTCCAATGACGACGGTTGCACGTCCTAAAAGACCAAAATAAAAATAAAATCAAGAAGAAAACGTAGTAGGCAATTAACATCTCCGTAAAATATCAGTGATCTATCTTCATGGACAATCTTTAGATGATTTTTCTACTACATTATCAACAACTTCTTCATTTCCTGAAACACCTTTTTCTAGATCTACAATAGGTGAAAAATTGATCTCATTCGTCATATTTCATTGGAATTCATTAGTAAACAATGAATTAGAATTCATAATATGTTCATCGGAGATGTTGAGTTCTACAATATGTTTGCTATCATTTATGCATCCTACATGCCAAATAAGAAGAAGAAGACCAAACATGGTTCTACAAAAGAAGTCCACATCTTCATGGCATTATCAAGTTGTTCTATGAACGAATATCTGAACAAGATTTTTCTATAAACTGAAGAAAGTCTTAATGGATGTTCATATTAGAGTACATAAATTCCAGCTTAGTGTCTTCATACATCCCATCACTGACGTCCTTGATTTCCGCCAACAAATCTACAACACGAAAAGGGAAAATCATGAATTATAATCATTCATGGTAACTGAAAACAGAAAATGTGATGAGGATCTGATCACTTTACCATTATTAGACGAGAACTTTGAGTCCTGCTGCTCGAGATAGACTCCGTGATGATCTAGTGACATATGATGGTTCGCAGCGAAAACCGATTTCCAAAGCTTATTGAAACCTGAAGAGAACATCCTCAATTCCTCTCATTTCTGCTTCAGATGGCTTAATATTCTCAATAGACCAAGAGATGCATTCATTCTTAATTCCTTGATCACATTATGCCCATAAGCACCATAAAGAATTTTCAAGCACCTCAAACTTGGACCCAAGAAACAAAAAGAAAAGTTTGTTTTCAACGGATGTTTGAAATGGTGACCGTACGAAACAAACATCTAGTGATCGTTTAATGGAAGTTTGTTAAAACCAAAACTATCAGAGCATGATAACTTAACAGAAAGAGGTGATTGCTTTCAAAATGTTTTCTCAATGTGTTATTTCACTACTAGAAAACAGGGTATCAGCGACAGATATTTACGACTGAAAAAATCCCTCACATATTAGCGAGGGATCTGTGAGGGAACTAGTTTTTTGACATTCCATTGTTGATCCCTTGCTGATCCTATTCAATTTTTTAGTTAATGTTCTCTAAAGGCATCATTTAGTTACAATTTTGCAAACCTTCTCACGGGGTTAAACTTTTGGTACACATAATCAAACTAGTTTTTAAGATATCGTAGGGGTTTCTATGAGTTCCGGTTTTAACTTTTTGAATGTGTTACTTTCCAAATCTGACACATACTTATGTTAATTTAGTACAATTATCATAAACTAATAGAACAAACTGAAACATTATGGTTACCTTCATGTGGATTTTCTACCTCTAGAAATGCAATGAACATTGACGATAAGAACATCTTGCTCTTGATAAGTAAGCTAAAACCACAATGGAAAACGAACAATGTAAAAGTCAAACATAAATCAACATAAATGTGAAAGAAAATAAAACACAAAAGGAAAGTCGTTATTTACCTTACTTGACGAGCTGCCACGTCGAAAACCCACATACTTCCCTTCTTGATACATCAATATTAAAAGTACTTATGTTCTGAAATAGAAGGCATAAGATAATGATATTTAATAAGCTAGAATCTCATTAAGTAAATCACAACAGTTCGATGTGGGACAAAAGTTTACCATCTTAAGATTGGTTCTATGACTATCTTGACATTTGTACGATGTGGGATATAAAATACCAATAAGAACATCCAATTTTTATGTAGAAATTCCGTTTTTAGTGTCTAATGTCATAATTCGTACAAACATCAATATCAAACATTACCTGCTTGTTTTAAGTTAAGTTGGCATGCCTTAAAGTTAACCCATGACTCACACCTCTAATCGTTTAAACGTAGCCAAATTCTCCTATAATCTATGTTTTGGCTAAAAAGGGAAAGTGTGATGTCATACAACGGACTATCTTCCCAACCAAGTTTCTCCAATTTTGACATACAAGCGTCCATATCACCGTCCTCCGATGGTTTGTCAAAAATGGTTCTCACATGTGTCTCCACATGAGCCAACTCATCTCCCCTTACCGGTTGATTAGCTTCTCATTTTCTGGTTTACTTTTGCTATATTGGCTTGTTTTTGTAATTGAGTCGGTGGCTTGAGCCCATGAAAGTAGGTGTACCTTGTGTTCGTTTAAGTATATTCATTTAGCATCTTAACGAACATGAACGATCACAAACACCCCCATCATTTTCTGAATAAACACGAACACATATTTTTTTGCATGTTTACTGTTGGAGTTCATTTGTATGTTCGGTAAGTAAATTTGCTTGATGCTCACTTGTTTTTTTCTATTCTACTGCCCTCCAACAACTGCATTCTAGTGCTTTGTATACCTTATACACCCATTATTCACCGCAAAACTGAATGAGCATTTAGTAGTCTATTTAAATTGTAAGCAAATGAAATAAGCAACATAACCACCAAAACCTTCATTGCAATTTGGTCCATACATTCCAGAAGTGCAAAGGTCTGAATTATTATTTGTTTCTAGTTTTTATTTGAATTGGGCAAGTTAATTAATAAACTAAATAAATTATTACATACTAATTAAGATCCCACATGGGTGATGGAATGAAAGCTGCAGCCCAGCAAAAGCCATATAAGAAGATTGTTTTACATTTTTTTTACTTACTTACCTGGACGGGATCAATGGGTGATCAATGAGGCCTATGGTCTAGGTTGGTGACCTCCATTGCACTTAGGAGGGGTGCCAGCTTAAGGTCGGCCCAAGTGGTCGAGCCTACGTCATAATTTGTGTTAGTGGGGGCCTGTGTTCGCGCGGCCCCTAACCAAACATCCAGTCCTAATATAAGTTTTTTTGCTTCTTTTTATTCTGTGGGAAGCATTTTTTAAAATTCGTTTATCATCTTTTACGTTAATACAGGAGAATAACTGAACAAATATATGAAAATATATTTATTCAATGATTTGAACAACATACAAAGAAAAATATAAAGGCAAACCTAACTATTTGTTAATCAAAATGATTAACAATTTTATGAACAAAACTTAACCTAATATGTATCTTCGTAACTTCTAGAAATAGAGAGAGAATACAAATGTATGAGATGTAAACAAAATGAATCTGAATGAAATTGTGATCTGCAGAATATGCCCTTTATATAAGAATCCAGAATTGACAGGAAAGACCCTCCAACTTTATGAATATTACTCCGCTAACCCTGATCTTCTACTCACTGTGAGGCGCAGTCCCTGACTTCATATAAAGCATACTTATCTGATTCCTTTCAACATTACCTATCATTCAAAAGTAAAGATTGTAAGTTCAAAGCATCTTTTAACTTCCTACA